ATTTTAACGGCCACCTGTGGGGTTTAATCTGCGAGGGAGTGGCTGGTGCCTCTCCCCAGAGCCCTGGGATGAAGTAAGGTGACCACCGTTCTTTGTGGCCGCAACTCAGCAAAAGCTCTGAGCACCCTCCAAATCCCGAGTGTCCCCACACAGTTCCAGTCCAGTCTGCCCTCCCTCTGCTGGAGCCCAAGTTAAGTGGCTGTGGCTATTTTAACCTCTGTCCTGGCTCTGTGCTGTGGAGGTGCTTGGAGTTTAACCCAAAGGCACTGCTCCCAGCTAAGGCTGCTGCTCCATGCTAAGTCCACTGCTCCCAGCTAATGCCCCTGCTACCAGCTAAGGCTGTTGCTCCCAGCTAAGGCCTCTGCCGAGCCGCCAAGCTGCTGACTGTGGGTTCTCAACCCCCTTCTCATGCCTCTGCAGTCCTACCTTGATTGAGTCAGTGTCCCTGGTTATGTGGTCCTCCAAGCTGCTTTTCTGTTGCTTTTTCCCGACGATTTGTCTTTATTTTTGTTGTGGTCCTCCAAGCTGCTTTTCTGTTGCTTTTTCCTGACGATTTGTCTTTATTTTTGTTGTAATTCCAATTTAGTCCTGGGAGATGGTCTGTGTAGTTTCCATTCACTCCGCCACCATTTTGGAATCTTCAGATATTTATTACCTATGGAAAAGCACAGGTCTTTTTCTGGAGAAAAACTTCAGTGCTCAGATATGCCGAGTAAACAGTTTGCCCAGTAACTGAACAGGTGGAGTCTGAAGGAAAACCTTGTGGTGAGAGCTTGGGCGTGTATCCAACTGGATTCAGCCTAGGGGCGAAGAGAGTCACATAAAGCCATTTTCCAAATAGCGACAGTTTGTGTCTTAAGTCCTAAATGGGTGCATGTTAACATTGGTCATTTTTTTTTTTTTTATCCTCACCCAAGGACATTTTCCCATTTTTTGTTCAGACAGAGTGGGAGGGAGAGAGAGAGAGAGAGAAACATTGATGCGAAAGGGACACATTGAGTGGCTGCCACCCACAAGACCAACCAGGGCCTGAGACAAACTGCAACCAAGGTGTGTGCCCTTAGCGGGAATCAAACCCGGGGCTCTCTGGACCACAGGCCAATGCTCTAACCACTGAGCCAAACCAGCCAGGGCTACACTGGCCATTTTTGAAGGAGACTTCTTTGTACGTGGCACATTACCTAGTCTTCTCAGTGCATTTTAAACTTTTATCAGTGGAATAACCACACACACACACACACACACACACACACAGACACACACACACACACACAGACACACAGTCAATAGTACTAAAGGGTTAAGACTAACACTGGTTCCTTGCTTCACATCTCTGCTTTTCCAGATCCTCATTCCTGCTCCTTGAAAACAGTCCCTTCAACCCTTCCAAACCCCTTCTATTTTTCTGGTACTCAACTCCATGTCTCTAAGGAATATATACACATACTGCTGTTTGCTGACTTGTCTGTTTCAGACAGTAGCTATTGTTATCCTGTTTTGGTGGGTGAAGATGGAGCTGCCATACATCCCCCCTTTTTTCTCCTGTCTCCCCTGGCTACCACTAGAGTTATAATTTTCAATTACATCTATATTTGGAATTTTCATGATTAGCTCTATGGAAATATCCACTGTGAAGCCAACAATTAGTTTTCCTTTCTTACACAATATTTAGATAGTTCAGGACTTCACATTTGCTTCATTTTAAGTATTTGTTTAGTTATCTTGTGGTAGCACTCCTTAATTCTTCTTAAAGAGTCATATCTGCAGAACACAATGAAAGGCAATTATCTGTTCCATTCATTTCTCTGGGTCCTTTTCTTGGCGCCCTTGTGCTTCCTGCTGGATGCTGGGGTTGTTTCACCCTCTGCAGGCAGCTCCAGCCTGGCCTCCTGGCGTTCCCCCTGACCACCCTCCTGAGTGGCTTGCTTATTTTCTTCATTCACTGTCTTGCTCTTCTTCCCATATTTATTCTTTTGATTGGTAGTTTTTTGAGAAAGTATATATGAGGCATCCATTTTTTCTAATCATTGTGCATCTGAAAAGTCTTTTTATAAAATTAGTTTTATTGTGGAGAGCATTACAGATGTCCTCATTTCCCCGCCTTTGCCCTCCTCCATCCGTCTTGCATCCCACCCCAGGCCTTCATCTGTCTATTGTCTGTGTCCATGGGCTATGCAAGGTCTTAATTCTGCATATTTAGTTGATAGATTGGCTTCCTATAATTTGAAAATGTTTCTCTATCATATTTTAGCTTCCAGTGTTGTTGAGAAGTCCAAAGTCATTCTGTCTTTTATATTTGATTGTGGTTCCTTTGTGGAAACTTTTAAAGTGTTCTCTCTATCATAAGAATCCTGACATTTCATGATGACATGCTGTGGGGTGGGTCTTTTTTATTAATTGTGTTGGATATTTGGTGGGTTCCTTTCAACCTAGAGGCTCAGTTTCTTCAGCCTTGTACTCTTTTCTTCTCTCCATTTTTTTCAATTTTCCCTTTTTGGATCTTCTATTAGATATTGTCCAATCTGATATTGACCCCATACTTTTCTTACCTCCTCCCAGCTACCCATCTCTTTGTCTTGTGTTACTTTCTGTGTCATTTTACCATTATCTTCCAAACGTTATGTACAAATAAGTCTCTGAATCTCTCAAATCCTTTATCTTCTAAAATTATGTTGACATTTTTTTGTCTATCATTGTTTCCTTTTGTGTTCTCTTTATCCTTGTGAACTTACACCTTTAAAATCTCTTGATTGTCACTTTGGTGGGGTTTGCAGTAGGAAGATTTTGGGGGAGCAGTGCTGCTGGGATAGGAACAGAGTGGGTTTCAACACTGGGGCTATCTGGCACTATTGTTCCTATCCTGTTGATCTGCATACCTCATGGGACCTGGATACATCATTGGGTTCAGTCACTACACTCCCTTTCACACTAACTCTTAATAACATACTCAGTTTACAGAGGCAGAGGGAATAATGGAAGAGTTCTGGATTGGAGTTCTATGAAGTCAGCCCAAACGTCAGCTCTGTGCTTTATTAACTGTCAATTTAGTTCTATCATACCTGCTGTACCTATGACAGGTGGTTATTATGAGCATCAGATCAAGACATACCTTGTGTAAGAGTGTTGTTAAACTATAAGGCATTATGAACATGTTAATTAGAATTGACAGTGAATGGTAGAGTTGACAACTAGTTGCATATTTGAGGCAGAACACAGAAGTTTTTTAACTTCCTGGCTGCCCAGACCTTCCATGCTCCCTCTCAATGCTTGTCATAGACTGTGAACTTGGAAGTCCAATGCCCTTTGTGGAGGAAACAAGGATAAATCAATATGTGCTGAATAGAATTTCCCCTAAGAGATACAAATTGTCAGTTAGGGAGACTGCAGCTCACCCACTTTCGAGCAAGATAATCAGGGTGCCAAGGTTTAGCTACCAGGAGGAGTGACTGAAAAGTGGGAGTAACCAAAACGTTACAACTGACTTGTACCTTGTCTGAAGAAAGAATGTACCAACCCAAGGACAGATCTGCGGAGTAAAAGGGAAGTCGTGGAGCAAAATGTTATCAGTGTCTTCAGTACCATACAGTGAAGATACCAATGGGGACAATGTCCATTTCATCTGCTTGGCAGCTGCATTTTCATAGCACAGATGGCTTATCGGTCCACATTGGCTTATCAATACCAAAAGGACAATCAAACAAATTGTCCTTGTCCCAATTTTATGTTGATTAAAGAACTCTTCATTTACTCAACAAATATTCAGTGAGCACATGCTTTGTGCCTGTGATACAAACAGCAAAAACAAGAAAGGCAAAGAAGCTTGCCCTCCAGAAGCTTACCTGCTATTAAAAAATAACTTTTTGAGCCCTGGTCCAGTGGCTCAGTTGGTTGGAGCATCATCCTGTACACAGAAGTCTTGGGTTCAATTCCAGGTCAGGACACATACCTAGGTTGCAGGTTCTATCCCCAGTTGGGGTGCATGCAGGAGGCAACCAATTGATATCTCTCTCTCTCTCTCTTCCCCCTTCCTCCCTCTCTAAAATAAATAAAATACATACAATAAAATACATATCCTTGGGTGAAAATTTAAAAAAAAACAAGTAAAAAAAGTTTGGAGTGATTTTTTATGGTGCTAAGTATTGCAGTGACAGTAATAAGGGCTAAGATTGGCACTCTAGGGACTCAACAGTTAATAGATACAGCTTCCCAATTAAATATTTCCATAAGGAGGGAATGAATGACTGGCTAATTGAAATGCTCAGTCCCTTTGGCACACTACAAATGAATTCATTACATTCTGGCCTGTTGGAAGTTTGGTTAGCTTGAGGAAGGCCCAAAAAGTCAACCATGAATTCATTGTCGAGATTGGGTGTCCAGAGCCAGAAACTTCCGACTAGGCCCTGGAAAGTGCTCACTCCATAAATCTAATTTTCCTTAGTTATATACCAGGCCTAAATATTCTTCTATAATTTTTCTATCATGTCCATTTCTCTTTGTAACCTCAACACAGTTATCTGTTATGTCATCCATAATCATACTATCTCTCGAAGAGCACATGTAGAAACAGATAAAAGTGAGTCATTCATACATTCATTCCTCAGGTGTTTCTTGAGATCTGTTATATATCAGACATTGTGGCCATGAGGGAACAAGGCAACTTCTCTTTGTAGGAGCTCCAAATCAGCTGACGACAGGGCACACCGTAGAAACTTCTCTTGATGGACAGGGTCGAATTCTAATCCTGGCTTTGCTACCAACTCGGGGGAGTAACCTCTGCTTTCTGGGCCCTAATGACCTCATCTGCATTCAAGAGGCTGAACTAGCTGATTTGTCTTTCTGGCCTGATATTTCTGTGCCAGGAAGGTGTGTAGTGGGACCTGTTGGACAGTGACTGTGAGGAAAAACATTACATAGTTTGGCAGAGAAGGGGAGAGGAGGAAAACATGTGGTTTTGCTTTTCCTGTATTTTTACACCACCAGAAACTTTCATCTTCTCTCAGCAGTGCCAGGAGTCGCTGTGCAGCAGCTTGCCATGGAGCCTGCCTCTCTTTGCCAACAGACACCGGACTCGGATGCTAGATAAACCGAAGGAGCGTTAAAGCCCTGACAACACGTGGTCCAAAGATCATTGTGAGTTCAGCCAGTGGACCCCAGGCAGAGGCAAACTTGAATCTGCATTTGAGGACCACGTTTGTGGTGGATTTCTGCCCTGTCCTGAGGTGGGAATTGCATTCTTAGCATCTGGATCAAGAGAAAAATAGTTCTTCACAAACCGCAGCTTCAATCCTCTCCTCAAATGCCATTTTTTAAAAGGAGGTACAGATAGCAGGGTTCTTGCCCTTGAATTATAACCACCCAACAATTAACTTGTACTCTGATACAAATATACACATGCACACACACACATACCAAAGTGCACATTACACACACACACATATACACTACATATACTATATACACACCTCACACATATATACTATACATACACACTACACACAAACATTACACATGTACACACTCACCACACATATGGACTACACACACACGCACACACTCCCCATACCACACACGCATTCCTCCTTTAACCAACATTATAGCAAAATCATGTTTTCTGCATTCATTTATTCATTCAATGATTATTTATTAAGACCTAGTTAAGTACCAGGCATGTTCTGGACTCCAGGTATTTTGTGGTGAACAAAAAAAGCAAGGCCTGCCTTTATGGAGCTTATATTTTGTAGGGAGGGAAACCATGAATTTATAAACAAATAGATATAAATATAGACAATATAATAAAACAGTCTGGTTGTGATAAATGCTATGGAGTGAAATAAAGCAAGGTTGGGGGAACATGGGTGTTGGGGGTGACTAGATAAGATAATCAAGGGACTTTCACCTCAGGTGATCTGTGAGCAGTGTTCCTTATGGATGAATTTTTCCAGTTTTCAACCCTACTTCTTTCAATGCCAAAAAAGTTTTTATTCTAACTAGTTTTGACCAAAATTACTTTACTTATTCATTTAAAAAAAATATGTTTATTGATTTTTAGAGAGAGAGGAAGGAAGAGGGAAAGAGGAAAAACATCCATCAGCTGCCTCCTGCACGCCTCCTACCAGGAATCAAGCCCGCAACCTGGGCATGTGCCTTGACCAGGAATCAAACTGGTGACCTCTCAGCATGTGGGACAACACTCAGCCAACTAAGCCATACTGGCCAGGGCAAGCAAATTACTTTAAATGCATTCTGTGTATGTGTGTGCCTTATAACACAGGAACCCAGCATACTTGATCTTTTCTTTTCTTAGAGATTTTCTTAAAAGGTTCAGGGTCAAAAGGGGGCACATCTGTATTACATTCAATAATAAAGATAAGTTTAAAAATAAAATAATGAAAGAGCAAGGAAAGAGCAAAAAAAAAAAAAAAAGATTCAGGGTCATTAATGGAAACGCCTGCTAATGCATTGGGCTGGAATATAGGCTAGCAGTTCTCAAAGTGCGTCCCTGGACTAGCGGAATCAGCACTCCCTGGAACATCTTAGAAATGCAGATTTTCAGGCCCACCCCAGATCCACTGCATCTGAAACTGTGGGGGCAGGGCCAGCAATCTGTGTTGTAGCACTCCCTTCGGGAAATTCTGAATCCCATTCAAGTCTGAGAAGGGCTGATAAAAGGTTGGTTTTGGGGCCATTGCTTGGGCGGCATCCCCACAGGTTGCTTCTCTCTTTGCAGGAGGAGTTCCTGCCTCCTTTCAGTAGGTTATGTCTCCCAGAGGATGAGGGCTGTCAGTGTTTATTCCTCATGGCTGTCATCAGTATGTCTCTGTCTAATTTGTATCCCCTTCTAATTTGCTGTTTCTAATCTCCTCTCTACTGAGAAATCAGATCACTAGCCGTAACTTCATTATGCAGAAAGGAAGAATAAATTCCAGGGCTGCTGGGGCCTGCCCTTATTAATTTGATCTTTTGCCCTCATGACTTTTGGCACAGTGGAGAGAACACAGTTTCTGGAGTCAAACTGACCTAGAATCCCACCCCAGCTGATGTGTATGCCTATTTCTAGTCTGGAAATGGGGAAATAACCAACCACAGGATGGGTTTGGGGACCCACTGTGAGATGAACCTCTGCTAAAATGTCATTGATCACCTCATCTCCATAAGCCCCCACTCTGATGGGGGGACCACAGTGATGTTTTGGGACTCTGGGAATTAATTCAGTTCCGAGTTAGTGTCCAGTAACCCCCTAAAAGTCTGTTATTTTCTTTTCCCAGTGCAGTCACTCTGGTAAAGGTCAGAGGTCCTTTTGGGGAGGGCTAGGATAAAGAATAGATTTTCAGCAGTGTAGAAGGCCTCCAGTTGTGTGATCTTGGCAGATTAGAACAGAATTGCTAGTGTATAAGTACTGGGAGATATGGGGAGAAATTGACCTACATGACATTTTTACACTAATAATTGTCTTTCAGAAAATATTCTTTAAAAACAGCTTTAAAAATATTTTTGAGTTGGGAGACCATAGTCGCCAATGATACATCAGATAAGGGACTAATTTCCAAAATATATAGAGTGCTCATGCAACTCAACAAAAGGAAGACAAAGAACCAATTAAAAATGGGCAGAGTAACTAAATAGACACCTCTCCAAACAGGACATACAAATGGCCAAGAGTCATATGAAAAAATGCTCAACATCACTAATTATCAGAGAGATGCAAATTAAAACAATTATGAGGTATCATTTCACACTTGTCAGAATGGCCGCTATCAACAAATCATCAAACAAGTGTTGGCAAGGGTGTGGAGAAAAGGGGACTCTAGTACACTGCTGGTGGGAATGCAGACTGGTGCAGCCACTATGGAAAACAATATGGTGTTACCTCAAAAAGTTAAAAATTGAATTGCCATTTGACCCAGTGATCCCATTTCTAAGAGTATACCCAAAGAAGCCTGAAACACCAATGAGAAAGAATATATATACCCCTATGTTCGTGGCAGCACTGTTTACAATAGCTAAGGTCTGGAAACAGCCCAAGTGTCCATCAGTAGATGAGTGAATAAAAGAGCTGTGGTACATGTACACAATGGCATACTATGGAGCTGAAAGAAAGAAAGATCTCTATCCTTTAAGATGGCATGGAATGACCTGGAGAGTATTATCCTAAGTGAAACAAGCCAAACAAAGAAAGACAAATATTACATGATATCACTTATTTGTGGAATATAATGAACTAAACAAACTGATGAACAAAACTGACCCAGAGACATAGAGGTAAGGTACAGACTGACAAACCTCAGAAGAGAGTGTGTTGGGGGGAAGAGATAAACCACAGAACTTATATGTATGTACGCATAATCAATGGATATGGACAACAAAGCTGGGGATGTGGTGGGGAGATGGAGAGGAGGGTTTCAATGGGATAAAAAAGAAGAAACATCTGTAACAAAAAAATGATTAATAAAAATAATTAAAAGATACTTTTGAGATATAGTCACATACCATAAATTTACTGATTTAAAGTCCACAATGTAATGGCTTCTAGTATATTCACAAAATTTTGTGTCCTTCACCACAAATACTTTTATTACCTAAAAAACCCTCCACATTCCTTAGCCATCATTCCTCACTCCCAGATCTCTTTATTTTCCTCAGCTGTAGGCAACCACTAATCTATTTTCTCTCTATATAGTTTTTATTGTGGACATTTCAGATATGTAGAATAATGAAATATATGTTTTTTTAAATTAATTAATTTATTTTGGTTACAGATGTTTCTTCTCCCCCCCCCACTGATTCCCCTCCCCCTCCATCTCCAGCCTGTCCCCAGCTTTGTTGTCCCTGTCCATTGTTCATGAATATATGCATATAAGTTCTGTGGTTCATCTCTCCCCCACCAGCCCCTCTTCTGGGGATTGTCAGTCTGTACTCCACTTCCACATCTCTGGGACTACCCCAATCCTCAGACTGTTATGTTTATTATATTCCACAAATAAGTGAGATCATATGATACTTGTCTTTCTCTGTTTGGCTTGTTTCACTTAGGATAATACTTTCCAGGTCCCTCCATGTCGTCTCAAAAGATATAGATCTTTCTTTCTTACAGCTTCATAGTACTCCATATGTACCACAGCTTTTTTATCCTTTCATCTACTGATAGACACTTGGGCTGTTTCCAGATCTTAGCTATTGTAAATAGTGCTGCTACAAACATGGGGGTACATATATTCTTTCTGATTGGTGTTTCAGGCTTCTTAGTGTATATACCTAGAAGTGGGATCACTAGGTCAAAAGGAAGTTCAATTTTTAATTTTTTGAGGTAACACCATATTGTTTTCCATAGTGGCTGCAATAGTCTGCATTCCCACCAGTAGTGTACTAGAGTCCCCTTTTCTCCACACCCTCGCCAACACTTGTTGTTTGATAATTTGTTGATGGCAGCCATTCTGACAGGTGTGAGGTGATACCTCATTGTTGTTTTAATTTGCATCTCTCTGATGATTAGTGATGTCGAGCATTTCTTCATATGTCTCTTGGCCATTTGTATGTCCTGTTTGGAGAGGTGTCTATTTAGCTTCTCTGCGCATTTTTTAATTGGGTTCTTTGTCTTCCTTTTGTTGAATTGTATGAGTACTCTATATATATTGGAAATTAATCCCTTATCTGATATATCATTGGCAATTATGCTCTCCCACCCAGTGAGTTGCCTTTCCATTTTGATGATTGTCTCTTTTGTTGTGCAGAAGCTTTGGAGTTTGATGTAGTGTCATGAGTTCATTTTCTCATTTGTTTCTGTGGCCTTAGGTGATGTATCAGTGAAAATTCTGCTGCATATGTTGTCTGAAATTTTGTTGCCTACAGTTTCTTCTAGGATTTTTATGGATTCACGAGTCACATTGAAGTCTTTTATCCATTTTGAGTTTATTCTTGTGTAGGGTGTAAGTTGATGGTCTAGTTTCATTTTTTTTGCATATAGCTGTCCAATTTTCCCAGCACAAATCATTACAGAGGCTGTCTTTACTCCACTGTATGCTCTTGCCACCTTTGTCAAATATTAATTGAGCATATTGCCTTGGGTCCATTTCTGGGTTCTCTAATTTGTTTCACTGGTCTACATGCCTGTTCTTGTGCCAGTACCCGGCTGTTTTGATGACAGTGGCTTTGTAGTATGACCTGAAATCTGGTAATGTGATCCCTCCAACTTTGTTCTACTTTTCCATGATTGCTGTGGTTA